GAGAGAGAGAGAGAGAGAGAGAGAGAGAGAGAGACTGAAACCTACTCATTTTATGTAAAATATATTTTCTAGAAAATAGTGTAAAGGGCGTAATTTTGTGAAATTGTTTGCTTATAATAAGCCTCTCTATCGAGCTATTAATGTCCTCGTGTGTTATAAATTATCAAGGTAATGCAATAACCACGTCAAGTTATAAATAGCTTCGCAGCAATCATACCATATGACTTCACATGTATAATAATATAAAAATCTAAATTAAGCAAAAGTAACAAGCATAAGTATTACACATATTGTTAAATACTTAAAATTAATTAAATTAAAATGATACCAATCAAATTCACAAACCAAATATTAAACATATAATTGATTTTTATTATTTATTAAAATTGAATTTGTTTTTATTACAGGTTCGTTGTTTTGGTTAAGCTAGCAGATATTTTATATATAATTTTTACTTATCAAAATAAAACCTAGTTAAAATATTATATAATTAGCAAATTTTATTACTTTAATTTATATAATGTTTAATATCTTTTAATTTATAAATGAAATAGTTTAAAACAAATTTTTAGTATGATTATAGATATGCATTAATTATTGTCGCGCTTTAAGTTTCACCAGCAATTCTTTTGGTGACATTAATATATTACTATTAAAATAATTAATTTTAGTTGATTGAGTTTTTTTTTTACTGAAAATGATTTATTTATCATTATAATAATAATATAATACATGAATTAGAATAAAAGTTATATATGTGTTCGACGTTTAAAATCAAACAAAAGTTGAAGTTAAAAATATGTCTTGACGTTAACGTCCGACGTTTACAGTAATTAAAATTTTATACAATAAAAAGTTTATACGTTAAAATAATGATAATTAAAAAGCCCTGCTATGTATGCAAGGAATAAATGATAGTCGTTTAATTTTCTGTCTTCTATCTGTAGAGGATTTCTTTGTATTCGTGTCTTCTAACGAGTTTGAAGTCAACGTTGACGTCAGTCATCTTTATTTTTCATTAAATTTCTTTAAGTTTCCTATAATTTCTTTTACAAACTTCACATATTCTGTTAGCAAATCTTCATGTCTTAAAACTTCCGTGAATACTTTGAAGTCGACAAACTTTGCTGAACAAACGTATTCAATTCGACGTCTGAACGTCCCAAACTTTGGACATATGTATAATAAGTGCTCAATTGTTTGTTCGTTGGTATTATCGCACGGACACAGTGGCGTATCGGAAATCTTGAATCGATTGAGGTTCTTATTGTTAAAACCGTGACCACTTAATACTTGTGACATTTCGAACGTCGGTTCTAAACGTTTATTCATTTGACGTCCGTGATGTATTGATGGGAGAAATGTTTTTGTCATTTTACCGGTTTGAGAGTCGATGTAACGCTGATTCCACTCTTCAATAATATCTTCACGTATTAGACGTTTTGCTGTTGTTAACGGAAAATCAGTGAATACTGGAGACGTTCTTTTTGACGTTGCAAACTTTGCAAAACCATCCGCAGCTTCATTGCCAGGTATACCGACATGAGCTCGCGTCCACGTAAACATCCACGACGTCTGACGTTCAGTAAGACTTTGAAGTTTATGGTGAATGCTGTTTACTATTGGATTAACACTACTCCGATTACCGAGCGCTTGAAGCGCCGACTTTGAATCCGAAAATATTCTAATTGATGACGTCTGACGTTTGAGCGTGTATTGAAGTGCGGCGTTAATAGCTATCAGCTCGGCCTGAAAAACAGAGCAATCGTTTCCGAGTTTCTGAGTATGATGTGAGGTTTTGTTGCTGTTCTCGTAGACCACGAACGCACTACCGACTTTGCCGTTCAGCTTACTGCCATCCGTATATATTGAAATGTCTACATCTCTTTCCAAATCATTGGCGGCGTCCGACGTCTGAACGTCATTGTGTGAAACTGTTATACGATTTGCCGGATGTTCCAACGTTCGGAAGTCTACACGTCCTTGATATTCAGAATCCGATGGTATGTGTTGTGAAATGCCTGTAGTCTTGACGTCGTCAATCATTGAAAGTTCGCGTATTCTTAGATCTATTGGTATCAAATTTGCAATCGCCAACGCTGACGTCAGAGACATTGTCCGAAAACCACGAGCAACACGTATTGCAAACGGGCGTTGGAATTGGTCTAATTTACGCCGAATATAGTCGTATTTCAGTGCCGATGACCAGATGTTGCATCCATACGTCAGCCCCGGTTCGATGGCCTGCTGATACATAACACGAATAACTTCAGACTTCACCCCCCACGTTGGACGTGCGATTTTTGCGAGAGCTCGATAAACTCGTTGTGCTTTATTTATAGCATATAATACATGATGAGTGAATTTGAGGTCCTGATCAATTATTACGCCGAGTAATTTAATTTGTGAAGTAATTGTTAGTGAACGTCCAGCCATTCCAATGTTCAAAAGACGTGCCGGCTTTGTGAACGCTATAACTTGTGTTTTGTCTGCTCCAAACGTCAACTTCATTTTGGAGCCCCAATCGCTAATTATTTGAAGAGATGTTTCGATATTTGTTTTGAGGACGTCGACGTCTTTGTGGTGACACATGAGTAAAACGTCGTCAGCGAATGCTTGCAAAGAACAGCCGTCCGGAAGTTGAACACTGAATATGTCGTCGAGAATGATATTCCAAAACGTTGGCCCGCAAACAGAGCCTTGAACACATCCTTTGGTCATACGTTTGGACGCTGTTTCGCCGGCGTAATGAATTCTGACTTCTCTATCAGTCAAATAATGTTGGATTAGTCTGTATATATTTCTCTTGATACCACGTCTTTTCAATCCGTTAAGAAGTGCCGGCCACCAAGCGTTGTCAAAGGCCGCCGCAATGTCTAAAGACACGGCAGCGACTTGTTGGCCGTTTGACTTTGACGATTTGGTGAAGTCGACAACAGACCTGATGGCGTCCAACGTTGACGTTTGTTCAGTGAACCCAAATTGTTTTCTTGAAAGTTGGTTACGTCTATGAAAATCCCAAGTGATGCGACGTTTAAAAAGGGATTCCAAACCTTTGCCAAAAACTGGTAAAAGTCCAATCGGACGATAAGACTTCAACTGACTGTAATCATCTTTTGCTGGCTTTGGAAGTATTTTCACTGTTGCTGACTTCCACAACGTTGGGAAAAATCCAAGTATTAGACATTTGTTGTAAAGTTTCGTTATAATATCTGGGAATGTTTTGACAAATTTGAGGGCAACGTCCGCAGTGATGTAGTCGTGTCCCGGCGCTTTCTTCGGGTTCATGTTACCAAACACTTCGAGTATTTCATCATAAGTGAACATAACGTCGTCCGTGGCGTCCGCGTTTAGTATTGATGACGAACGTCGAACTTCGGTTTGTTGTTGTGTTTCATTACTTAACGTATCGTCAGGGTAGAAATGGTTTAGTAAAGCTGTGGCTGTGGTCTTAGCATCTGTTGTGTAGTTTCCGTTGATTAATAGTGTTGTCGGTGGGCGGGGAGTGGGAGAGTCTTTAAGAATGCGATAGACGTTGGACCAGACGTTGTCCTTTCCTTGGCGTCCAACGTATTCCTTCCAACTCTTAATTGATTCATCAGATATGAGTTGTGCGTACTCTTCTTTGCACTTCTTGTATTCATTAATAGCTTCTGTAGGGGGTGTGTTTATTGCGTTCCGGAGCCGACGTCGCAAACGTTGAACTTCACGCTTTTTATCTTCAAGTTCTAACGTCCACCAGGGACAGATCTTTTTGCCTCGCTTTCTCAAAGGCATTGACGCAGCGCACGCGGCATTAATGGCATCGGTCAAACGCCCGACTAGAACATCCAATGTTCCGACGTCTGTGATAGACTCTACCGATAATATATTGACGTCACCATCCAAAAGTCCTTTATTGCACACTTCAGTGAATGTGTCCCAATCGGCCTTTTCACTCCTATACTTAAACGTCGATAACGTGTCGGTTGTCATTAGCTCTTCTCCGAGATTGATGTCAAATAAAATTGGGTTGTGATCACTATTAACTATAATTTCTTGTTCGACCCTCCAGTTTCGGACGTTTGGTAGAGCGGCGTTCGAGGCCAACGTCAGGTCAACGACAGACATGAGACGTTGATGACCACGTATTGTGTCAAACGTCGGTGTGTTTCCACAGTTAATTAATTCAAAGCCATCTGACGTACAGAATTGTGTGATTAAAATTCCGTTTTCATTGTTAATTCTATTCGGGTCCCACGACACGTGTGATGAATTGAAATCACCACCTATGACAACTCTTTGGGCACTAATTGATGCGTTTGAAAGTTTTAATATAACGTCGGAAATGTTTGTTTTTGGTGGGTTATAAATGCTGCAAAGCCGAAACGTTGAACTTCCGACTTTGACGTCAACTATTGTCATATCTGATGAACTGTGTTGTGTTTGAAGTATTGGCTGGACGTTAAGATTAAAGATAAGTATAGCGGATCTAACAACTCCTGTTAGGTGGCGTTGAAAGACTTGGACTTTTGATGTACCCTTGACGTATCCAAGGGCACCTACATAAGGCTCTTGAAGTAAAGCAACGTCGACGTTGAGATCGACGCACTTTTCTAAAAGTTCTTTATGACATTTTAGACTTCTTTGGCAGTTGAGTTGAAGTACTTTGAGGTGATTTTTGGGGTTAACAGACATAGTCGGTCATTTCAGTGGCTCTCATTTGCATTTTCTGAACGTGCGGACAATACTTCGACGTCGCAGCGTGCGACGTCTGCTCCTGTTTACCATACTTGACGTTTGACGTCTGGCAGTTAATGCATTTCGTCGCTGTCTTGACTTCGCGTTGTGTGCACTCAGACGTTTTGTGTTCTTCAGCACAGTGTCCACATGTGTCGTGATTTTGATTGCAATTTTTTGCGGTGTGACCAAAACCAAAGCACTTATAACATTGAAGAAATGACGACATATGGCTGACGTGTACTCTTTGGTATCCAACGTTAACACGTTCGACGTTCTCCAAAGATTTAAATACTTTTGGTGAGACTTCGATCACATAGTTGATGAGACGGTCGTTGCGATTCTTGCGTCTGAAACGTACTTTCAAGTGTTCTTCTCTAAAGTCATTGCCGATCGCCAACTCAACGTTCGAGTTCTGATCAATAATTGATTTGATGAGCTCTTCTTCCGTGACGTCTTTGAGTACTCCTTTGAGTTCAATCAGCGGCCGTTTCTTTTTAGATGGTTCAGACGTCAGAACGTCCGACTTTTCATTGATTTCTTTAATAATAATATCTCGCTCTCTTTCTGTTTCAAACTCGAGTCTAATGGTGTTGTTTGAGAGACGTGTGATGCGATTTATCCCAACTTTGAGTTTACGAGGGTTGACTGTTTTCATGAAAAGTTGACTTATTTTTTTGATGATTATGAGTGTCTTCTTTGGACTTTACAACTGACGAGAACGTTGGACGCAATGGTATAGGTGTTGAGATGAACGTCGGGGTGGACTTGTTTGGTGAGACGTTGTGTTTGTCTGACGTCGACGACAAATTATTAGCGACAACCCCGGCGAACGTCTTCTTTTTCAGTGAATCAACGTCTTTACGTATGCTCTCTTGTCCAGCGATAAGTGACTTAAGAAGAGATTCAACGTTCGATGGAACGCTAAACGCTGTGTTGGATTGAACGTCAACGTCAACGTTCAATGAGCCGGAAAATGACGCCATTTTGGACCGGATATCGGCCGCTATCTCCCGAAGGGCGGACATCTCGGCCATAACACCAACCTTAATCGCTTTCTTGAGGGTGCCGGGCGAAGTGAGGAGCGCTTCGACTTTGTCGGCAATGGCATTAATGGCCAAATCGGGCAAAAACTGTTGAGCGTCGGCGTGGTTGGCATGTGTTGTTGTTGTTGTCGATGATGTGGCCATCGGCGGCTCTGATCCGGACGGAGTGGTGGACATGTCGCCGTCGGGGAGTAATCCGAGGATGAATGGCATCAAAAACACTACACAATTAACACAATTTAAACAAAATTTAAACAAAACACTTGTGGAGCACAAAAACAATGCGACTGCTCTCTATAAGCTGTTATAACATGTTTTTTAGTTGATTGAGTTAGATTCAACTCAAACTTGTTGACCAATTTAGCCAGGCACATTCGCATCTCTTGCATAGCAAACCTCTGTCCAATGCATACTCGGGGTCCGCCACCAAAGGGTATGTAAGCGTAGGGATGGTGTGTGGGGTTTATGAAACGGTCGGGTATGAAGTCGTTAGGGTTGGGCCACAGGTCTGGCTGTCGGTGCAAAGCGTAAGATAATATTTCAACTGATGTTCCCTTTAGTATTGTAATACCTATTTAAAAATAATAATTTATTTTAAAATAATTAACCAATATATTTATTTTACATTATATACCCGTATTTCCCAGTTTGTAGTCCTGAACGCATTCCCGTTGTATACGTGTTAGCGAAGGCGCGAGACGTAGTGTTTCATTGATAACTGCGTTCAAGTATTTCAGTTGCGATAACTTTTCGTACGTAAACTCATCACAACTTTGCAACTCTTCGTATAGTATTTGCTGACAGTCTTTGTGTTGAGACAAGTAGTACAGGGCGTGTGTTATGGCAGCGGATGTCGTGTCGTAACCGGCGATCAGGAATTGCAAGGCCTGTGCCGACAGCTCATCGGTGGTTAGCGTGCCTTTAATCAACGTATTATTATTAGCCATAGGATTGCCAAATGTCTCATCTGAATCTTTATCTACTAAGTCATAGTTCGTGTTCGTTTGATCGACGCTAATCTCCGAGTCAAGCATTATTTGCAGGAAATCTTTATAAAATTTAGCTGAAGGTAAAAAAAAATTAATGCAAATATAGCTAAATATGAATACATGCAAACATTGTTGTCATAACATTTATAATAATTAGTGTGACAAACATTTTTTATGATGACTTCTATCAGTATTAATCCGAGCCTTTCTGTCATCGATCAGACGTTTGGCGAGTGTTTCAAAGTATTGAATGGCCTGAATGTCAAAGGGTTCGCACCGTAACAGTCGGGCCATACGGGGCCACAGAATCGACATAATTATGCCAAACCCGTAATTAAATGCAAATGCTTTTTTAGCGTTAGTTATTATGGGATTATCCGGATTAGAGATTGACTCGGCATTTATGCCGAAAGCACTGGCGCTGAGCACATCCATCGCAAAGCCGCCCACGTATTTGTATATATCTATAATTTCACCTATGTGGCTTTATCAAGGCCTTAATGATGGTTCTTAGTTTAGCATTAATTAATTTAAACAATAAAATAATGATTTCAATAAATATTTTAAAAATTCATTTTTACTTTTAAAATATTTTGCATGCTTGAAATAAAACTATTTCCAAACAATAGTCATATATTTATTCCACATTTGTTATAAAATATTAACTTTGAAATAGTTCCTTAAATAATTTTAATTCAAACGTACATATGGTCCCTATACCCCCTTCCATAGTGCAAACGTACTATGTGAAAACCGTTAACAAGGTATTGACGTATCAATGTCGGTGCAAGGTAAAACTATGTACAATTCGACTACTGTATATTTAAATATTTTATCTATAGATAACAATTAGTATTTTACTATTGTTATATTAGTATTGTAATAAAACTGTAAATTTATTTAATTATATATTTCTAAATAAGCTAAAATTAGTATACCTTTTTATGTGGACCATTTCGTTAAAAAATAATTATATCATGTTATCTATACATTTATTAAAATGATCTGCAATTTTAATGTACCTTTTTGCTCAAACTGTGCCAAACACTCGACCAACCGATCGGATATATCGGTAGTAGAGGCCATCATTGACCGTAATTTACTCGCTGTAAACACCGGTGAGATCGCCGATCGGACCCGTTTCCAGTCATCGTTACCGGGCATAAAAAACAAGATCATGTTCACTGTAGAGCTACCCGTATGCCAACGTCGGTGGTCTGCGAATACGTGAAAATCTTTTATAAAAATGTCCTTGATCAGTTCCGGGTCGGTTATGCTAATTTGTTTGCGGTCCAGAGCGTAGTCCCCAAAAACGGGCCCGTATTTAGCTACTTGGTTAACTGTCCATTCGTGGTGTACCGTGTTGAAACCGTTATATTGTAATAACCCTGATAGCAGTCCTGGTCCGGGTACGCCATGTCGGTGCCAATAGCTGAAATGATGCCGCAAATACCTAGTAATATTTATTTGTAAGTTAATATTATATATTTTAATTATAATGTGTAATTATATTTACAGATATATGACGGTTATTAGCGCAACAAATATGATAAATAATAACATTAAAGCCGTGGTTCGCAACGGAATTACTGTATATTCACAATTTATTTGTAACTTTGTTGATTTAAATGGTTGCTTGCTTTATTTGTCTCACTATAATTCACGACGAAATAATTTAATTTAAATGTTATGTCAATCCATATCACTTCTACTTATAATATAAATATATTAAATTTTAAACATCTGTTTTTTCAAAAATTGAATTTAGTTATTTTATAATATAATTTCTCTGTTAATAAATATTGACGTTTATTAACTATTATTATTTAATAAACAAATGATGATAATTTGTTTACTAATTATAATCGCAGGTAGAGTATATTCAAAAAAGTTCACAATATACCGTAATCATTATTATGATTTTCATTTTAGCCTACTATAGTTGCATAGATAAATCAAATGTTTGTAAAATTCGCCTTGTTTACTTTATTTTCTATTAAATTATTAAATATAAAATTTTAGGTTTCTGTAAAATTGCATATATGTATTAATGGAATATTAAATTGCTTATTATAATAATCAAGTAGGGATTAATTGTGCAAATGGGTTAACAAAATAGTAATTTGACAGGGAACAACTTATAATCATAAGTTATGGAGTTCCTGATCATCCAATGGTATTTTCCAATTATCAAATTAAGGATTTTTGTCAAATGTGAGTAAAACTTAAAAGTTACCAAATAGTATTAAAATTAGTAATTAATTCCTACTTTTGTTTTACCTCTTGCTATAATCAAATAATAGAGAATATTGTAATAAAAATTGCACGTTTTAATTATTAATATAAAATACAATAATTTGACAATTGAAACAAATGATTCCAATAACTTAGTTAAGAGCTAAATATTGAATTAAATAAGCTTATTTATAGTATAATCTAGCTCATGCCGCTGGTATGGATTTAAACAAACTAAATAATAATATTAATCTTAGGGTTACAGTGGACAGCATGAACACCAATAGGGATGCGATTAACAGTTGGTTTGGCAATAATCCCATTATCGGCAAAGTGTACGACAATATACAAAAGTCACTGCCAATTGCGATGAACACGTGCAAAAAACTGACCCAGGCTGATATGGCTGACTTGTCAACCAAGGAACATCTATTGAAAAAAAACCGGCCATCAAGTGCGAATGTTTAAACCCAGACCTCCCGGAACTCATTACCGTTCGTTGATTATGCTAATACTGACAGCCATTAACAACGCTAAGTCCGATTAATTTGCGTACACTTTTAATATGATTTGTTGTAAACAAAACACGTTTTTATTAGAAATAATTACTTTTGTATTACAAAATTAAAATATTAAATTATGTGAATAAGAAGCAATAAATTCAATTCAATTAACAATATTGGTAATTTCATTTATAATAAAATATACGGTACTATTAAGTCACTTGGTATCAATCTTACAGCGGGCCTATCCATCCTTACTATAAATCACGTCGCTGTCATAATTTTTGGGGGCAATAAACACAGACTTTTAGCCCCCTATGAATTTTTATGTATTTTTTGTAAATTTTATTACAAATTTCGTAATAAATGCTATTAAGTATAGAAATAAGCAAAATTGGATTAGAACATATTGCACAAATATACTGAAAAATCGTCGGTAAATGACTCTTTACTAAAATTACTTAATATTACTAATATTAGTTCTATTTGTATAAACCCAATCTTGCTAATATTTATTCCTAATAGCTTTTATTACAAAATTTGTAATAAAATTTACAAAAAAATACATAAAAATTCATAGGGGGCTAAAAGTCTGTGTTTATTGCCCCCAGAAATTATGACAGCGACGTGATTTATAGTAAGGATGGATAGGCCCGCTGTAAGATTGTTATCGAAGAAACAATTTTTTGTTTTTCTTCTCAATGAGAAATTCATTTATTAACAAATACTGTACTTTGAATGTCTATAACATTGAAATTTATGGCAATACATGAATAAATTATTTGCATTTAATAATACAAAACTTAAATATAATACTTGAATGGCATTGGAATAAAATGTCATTTTTATTCAATAAGTTTTAAAAACACAATTGCATTAAAATAGTTAACCAAACAATTAATTAATTAATTTTTAAGTCCCAATTCTTCAACTCTTATAACGAGTTAATGAAAAACTTAATGTTTTTACATTTTTTCTATTCCCCACTCCTTTAGGGATATTTAATCGTAAAATATTTTTCTTTCTCTTTATTTCTGTCAGTTTTCAAACTAATATGACATTAGTTTGACGTCTAAGACAGTGTATATTTGTGTTGTTTGGCGCACAACACAACTGCTTATTATTATATTTGTATTATTATTAGAAAACAACATTTTTTTGGCCAAATATCTTCTTATTCTTGTTTCACTTAAACGTCTTCTCGTTTTCTTCACATCTAATTAATCGTATGACTTGTTTGAGACCCGCATTTCCAAAACCCATTCCCATAGACCCCCTCTAAATAGATAAAAATTTGCTTTATTTAATTGATATAATTAATTTTATTCAATTTATGTTTTAAAAATTTTAAATCAATATTTGTTATTTTTATGTTAATTTTATGCTAACAAATTTGTCCAGAGTTGTACGAATACTAATTTATGAAAATCTCAAAATGAAAATACAGACTCCAGACAAGGACCGACGGGCCTTGTCTGGAGTCTGTATTTTCTTACTACTCACGCCATAAAAGAATTTTGTTTTTTCTTTCCATACATTTTAGTTTCTCTTTTGAAATATTATATTAGTTTTAAATGTTTTGGTTATTTTCGAAAAACGATTGAAACCTGTTTTTTGTCGCAAATAATCTCTTATTTAATGTGATATATAAATACATTTACTGTTAAAATAAAATATTAAGTTTTCGAGTCCTTCTCTGGTATACAAAAAGTTATTTCTGTTTTGTTTTCATTTCCGTAAACCGAAGCAAATCCAGTGAATAATCACTGTATTTGTCGATAGACTACTTTAGTCTCACTCACTCTCTCTCCTCCTCCCTCTCTTTCCTCCACTTTATAAATACTTTCTCTCACTTTGCCGTATATTTTCAATGAATTAATTTTAACACACGATACTCTCTCTCTCTCTCTCTCTCTCTCTCTCTCCTCCCTCTCTTTCCACCACTTTATAAATACTTTCTCTCACTTTGCCGTATATTTTCAATGAATTAATTTTAACACACGATTCGCTCTTTTCGTTCAGATTTGGTTTCGCAGTATTTTTTACAACAAAAATATTGCAATTTTATTAAAATATTCATTTGATTTCCGTTTGCAGTAAATGTTTCCTTTTTATGTCGTCCTGTTGTCTGAATTTTATGTTTAATTTGTAAACAACATTATTATTATATTTGGCAATTAAATTGCGGTTTTATTATTGACTTTACATATAATTATTATATTGTGTTTTAAACTCGATTTCATTTGAAGTGTTAAAAGTGGAGGCATTTGGGGGAAAATGGGACCACATTTGGCCTATTTTTGCTTATATTGTTGTACTTTGCGATTGGGTTTCTCATAGAATATTAATTGTCAAATTAAATTGTTGTTATTTATGAGGGGAGGGGTGGGGGTCAGGGGTCGAGCAGGTGGTGGTCTATCTGTTATATAATGAAATGCAATTTATGTATTTGAATACTAGTCGTGAATACAACTATACTTATACTTGTGATTAGAATCGATAATTTCTTTTTGAATACAATTATTAACAATAATTTATAAGAAAATTGTTTTTGAGCTTATTATGTGATGTGAAGGGAAAACATGAGACAATAATTATTGTATTGTATTTTTATCATTCTATTCACTGTTATATTTCCAGAAATCTGTTAGATTTTTGTTGTTATAATTTTCGCTGATTTCCTCCGAGAGTTTGCAATAAATTATATTTCAGAGTTATTTTTGTTGTTATTCTTTGAGTGCCTTTATATACATAGATATATATAAAAATAGACTAAAATATAGTTATGTTATAATAATATTCGTCACAAATGTATTACACAAACAAATTACTACTTAAGAACCGCTTTTGTGATTAAATTTTGTTTTAATTTTACGTTAATATTTTTCGTATAATAATTGAACCCTTTTTGTGTTCATCACTTGTAAAATGACTTCTCCTCTGTTCTCAATGTTATTCATTTATTTCCCATTTTGTTGTATTTAATAAACGCTATTTCTATTCATTTTTTATTGTTAGAGATTTATTTCATGGGTTAATTTGTGTAGACTTTTTTCATAACCAATAAATATTTATAAAATATGCAGAACTGTTACGATTACCACTGATTTATTGCCCATCAGTTAATAATATAAATCATGGATTAATTAACTATTAATTTCTTGAATTCCTGCTCGAAGTCTCATTTTGCAGACTTTAAAAAGCAAACAAATTTTTGAATAGCTTTCAAATCGTTTTTAAAATTTTTATTATATTTTTTAATGAAACTAAAAGTATTAAGAAATTAATTTCCTTTATATATATTCTCTTACAACTCATAAATTTAATTTGATTTATACGTTAAACTAATTTTTGTTGTGTTGTTGTCTGACTGCTTATAATAAAAAATTTGCTGTTTTGGTTGATTTACGAGTGAATTAAAAAAATATTATTGAAATTCTGTTTCACTGCTTATTATAGTCTTATTTTCATGATTTGCGAGGAATTATTTTAAATATTTTAAGAAAGTATTCATTCGTTAGTAATATAACTAAATCAACACAAAAATAGCGCAAAAATAATTCATTTATTACATCTATATTGAGGCGAACTATGGCTAAAGAGTTGGTTCTCTCTGTGGTTGTCATTAATTTTGTCATTTCCTATAAAATGGATTTATTAGTTATCTCTCGAGTATAATA